CGAAACATCACATCCTGTGCTCAGTTTGTACCTGAGGCATGAGAGCACTTCCACTTCCCCACACTTTTTAATTTTAAGGTTGCATGTTGAGTGGAGGTAAACGGAATTGTGGTAATTCCAGGTGCAGCTCGTGAACACGTCTTTCTGTATCAACATAGCAAGCCTGTGTGTGCTCATGCATCTTCTCTCCATGCATTATAAATCCTTCAGGAAAATCATTAAAGTTTTATCTTCTTATTTGGTTCAAACGTAACCAGGTGAGAGAGCGCCTCCAGAAGATGGGTCACTTCCAGCCCATGAACATCTTCTTGCGTCAGGAGATCGATCGGATGCAGAGGGTCATAGTTCTGGTCAGAAACACCCTGACAGACCTAAAGCTGGCCATCGATGGAACCATCATCATGAGCGAAAATCTGCGGGATGCCCTGGATTGCATGTACGACGCACGTATTCCTGCCCGCTGGAAGAAGGTTGGTTTGAAGAATTGCCTTGAATAAAAAATGTGCCCTTAACGAGAAATTTCTCAAAGCAATTCACTTTTGTCATGCTGAAGACATTTGTGTCACCTCTGTGTCACCTCTGCCAGCAACACTTACACCATAAGTTACTTGTGTCATTTTGTTAGCTTTTTATTTCGTTATATAAATTGTTTTTCTGCTTCACAAATGGCAAAATGACCCTCCTAATAGGACCAGTCATCTTTCAATTCTACTGAAAGCTATTAACGCCCTTTGCATTTAATAAAGAATTCTAACAAGCCACTTTAGGGAGACTGGAGGCATCAATTAATAAGTTTTTATTGCTCTGCAGTTTATATTTTCTCTAATGTTATTATGGTCAAGTAAATCAAAGGTTTACTAGTTTGTTTCCGATAACATCAGATATTTCTTGCTAGCTACTCATCATCAACGTCTAATTTATCTTCAGCCCACAATGACGCTCTTTACCTTTTATTTATGTACTTTATTTAGAAAACTATAAAGCACACAAATACATTTCAATGATGAATGAAAGCGACTCTAGTTACGAACTTACTCGACGAAATTGATGCAATATTAATATTGAGATAGTGGAAGCAAAAGAAAAACACTTTTACCATATCTTATATTGAAATCATTCTGTTGGCATTCAAGTCATGCCTCACAAACTTTACATTCATTATTAGGATCATTTAGATTTGAAAAGCTTCCTGGCTGGGATCCAGAATCTTTCTACCTGCAGCTCTATCTACTTTTGCCCCATTTGTCTCCACTTGACTGTTTTGTTGCATTCTCATCTTTTTTTATTATGACGTTCTGAATTTGTTCTTTTTCTCTTGCCACGCGGGGATTCACAATCCATTTTTTTTTTTTAAATGTCTCGCTGTTGTCTTCTTCTCTGATCTGTCTGGATGACAGTTTTCTGTGTTTCATTGTAATGTTTGTGTTGTTGTTTGTCTTTGTTTTCCAGGCATCGTGGGCCTCCAGCACCCTGGGGTTTTGGTTCACAGAGTTGCTTGAGCGGAACCGGCAGTTTCAGGCATGGATCTGTGAAGGGCGGCCCCACTGCTTCTGGATGACAGGCTTCTTCAACCCGCAGGGCTTCCTGACAGCAATGAAACAGGTACACACGGCATCAGGCTACCTAACTACCTACCTACCTACCTACTTACCCACCGCCATAGAGAAGACCAGATGGCACGCTGAGGGAGAGGCAGGCACACAGCCACATTCACACGCGCTAGCAAGCACACAGCCACAGGCAGGCATGCATGTACACATACACACACACACACACACACACACACACACACACACAAACCAGTTTTTATCACACCGTGGGAACCAATGAGAGGAAGCAGCCTGGTGGGATCCACCCTTTCTGAAGGGTCTAATTTTGTGATTCGGCCAGCAGAGAAGGCTTTGCTGGCCCTGACGGCCCACCACTGCTTTGATATAATATCAAACATATCCTCTTTTTGTATACAAAGTCTGAGAGATTTAACAGAACAATATTTTTGTTGAAAATGAAGGTGAGCTGATTATGTATTTCTAATGTAATGGCTTTGTGGTCCCCCCAACATTCACACACAAATATTTGGAAGCGCAATCTTCTTTAAACCGAAGAAATGTATTGTCATCATTGTGAGGGCTGGTACTGTTCTCTTCAGACCTGCTGGTTGTGTGAGCTTTATCTTGTGTAACTTAACTGTTGGTAGAAGGTTGATGATCAGCATCTTCCTCTTGGTCTTGGGTTCCTCCTTGCACAAATATCATCACTGAACCTGGCCCTGCATTGATTTACAAATACAAGGCAAATAAATTAGCATATACATGCAAAGTATTTTTTTTTTTAAATCTTCAGGCATTAAGGAATACGGTTTAAAGGTTTAAAAACAAAATCTAACAAATCTTAGTGTGAATACATTCATCCAACAATTATGTATGCTAATATCATTAAAACCTGATATGATTAGCAGTTAGTAATTTACATTAACATTCATGAAGGAAATGGAAACTAGATAAAGCGAAGATAAGATAAAACCAAGAAGAATATAGTTGATTGAAGTAAAACATAATCCATGATAGATCAATTAAAAATGCATACAAACCGAGACCGCATTTCAAATGTCTTTCAAAAACTATGTATACAGATAAATAGCTGAGCTTCTGATCCTCACATTATTAAAGGCTAATAGAGCAGCACACTGCATAGTTGCAGTTGCACAAAGGCAGCGTTACCATGGCTGTGAGTTTGTTTTTGGTGCCCGACTCACAGCGTGTAATGGTCGTGTACATAGCGGTGGCACTGAACTTACATACTGTATATTTCTCACAGGAGTGTCAATTCTTATAATTGTTCAGTTTTGAGAAAATCTGCAAGTCTATTACTGTCTCCACCAGGTAGGCTTTTTATCAACAGATTTCATGATTGGTGGCCTTGGTTTATGGATTATTGTTATTCTTTTTGGTGGTTACTGAACAGGGATTTGTTGGACTACTGTTAGTTCCAAAATATAATTTCCTCTCACTGAGCTCGCAAACTGACTTCTAAGGAGAGACACTGTCCTATCTGTTAAATTTTGCCCGATAAGGATTTTGTGTGTTTTTTTCCCTCTCTTTCAAAATGAGGATAAAATGGCTGAGGGGATACTCAACACTCATATTTAATTAATTTATTGTCACTCTGCCCTTGCTCCTTTTGAATCGTCTGGGATTTATTCACTTTCTGTTGGCACAGCATCTCGCAAAACAAATGCGTTAATGGAGTGCACTTCTCTGTGATGCAATGCTTTTTTTTAATTGTACCTCTATTACAGCCCGGGTCTCAAATTACTTTTTTTCTCTCGAAAAACAGTTGCCAAATGTCAGCACTGTCATTCACGTGTACTGCTGTATGATACTGCCCACATCACTGTCTTGACCTGTGGATTTGTCCCTGCACTTGCAGGAGATCACTCGGGCCAACAAGGGCTGGGCCCTGGACCGCATGGTGCTCTGCAACGAGGTGACCAGGTGGATGAAGGACGACATCACCCAGCCCCCCGCAGAGGGAGTGTATGTGTACGGCCTCTACCTGGAGGGAGCCGGCTGGGACCGCCGCAGCTGCAAACTCATTGACTCCAAAACCAAAGTCCTCTTCGAGATGATGCCTGTGATCAGGATGTACGCAGACAATAATGGTGAGATTGATTATGGTAGTGACAGTTGATTCATTAGCAAAGTTTACATTCAAAAAAGTGTATTTTGAAGATGTGTCTGACTCTGAATTTAAAATTCAAATCCGACAAAGCTTTAATCCTGTCTTTTCTTACAGGATCAACATTTTTTTAGTCTTTGTCTATCTCAGTGTATCCCTCCTCTACCCTCCTCAACATTTGCATCCCACGCGTCATTCAGAATGGATGGCTGTAACATTTAAATGTCAAGCAGACTAAGTGCTATTTATTTTCTCTGAGAATAGATTACCAGCAGTATGTAGCACAGTGTTTGTTCTGGATAAGACGGGGCTATATTCAGGAAGCAGCAGTGAGACAGGCCCGAGTGGACGCCTGCAAGCGAGGCTGCCTGGAAAAATAATTAATGGTCCGATGATACGCGTAATGCGGTTTGTTTACAACATGTCCCCTCCCAGCTTTTCCCACAAGAAGGCTGCCTGCTGAGTTTGAGTGTGTGCGCCAATGCAAGGGAGACTGGGGAGGGATGTGTCTGTGCCACAAGTGGTTGCAAGAGCATCTTTGAGTACGTGTGGCATGCATGCATCTTGAAAACCCCCCTACTCAATTGTGATTCCATTCAAAGAGAAAGGAGGGGAGGGGGGCACTCCAGCATGTTGGGGTTCTTTGGGGAATGACTCAATTTTGGAGCCAGCCTCAATTGGCCATTTGAAGTGCAGTTTTTGGCACTTGCATGTTGGCTTGATTTCTCAGCACTGCAGGTTGCCGCTTGGCAACAACCACATGTTCTCTTAATCGCAGTTATTTGCCTGATTTGAGCAGACTTCGAGTTTATAAAAAACAGATGTTCCGTTGGACAAAGATGGGTGTCCCAACGGCATCTCCTTACCCATTTAAATATTTCCGTTACTTGAAATACTTCTAGGTATAAAGATGGGTAATTATGCGCCAATTAAGAGATGCCAGCTGTTGCTTTGTTTATTATCACTTTTCTTCATTAGTGAGTATCACGTGAGACTTGTTCGTTGTGTTTTTTGTTGCAGGTGTGAAGGATTCCCGCCTCTACTCCTGTCCCATCTACAAGAAGCCAGTTAGGACCGACATGAATTACATTGAAGCTGTAGACCTGAGGACTTCACTTCCTCCAGACTACTGGATCCTACGGGGTGTGGCCCTCCTCTGTGATGTCAAATGATAGCTTCTCCTTGAGAGACACTGAAACACATCTTGTATGAAGTTAGACATGATCAACTTCCCATCAGTCCCATTCACAATATCCTAGAGTGTCCAGGATAAACAGCTGTTACTATACCTACCACTACACATTAACATATATAGAGAGAGATTTTTAAGATTCAGCAATCTACTTACTTTATTTCTTCCACAAAATGGGGAATTATGACAGTAGGGGCACCAGTTGTAAAACATGTGCTCCCAGTCAATGAGAAACAGCCTCTCGAAACATTAGTGTAGAAGGACATTTTAGAATAACAGCATCCCTTACAGTCCTTTCCGCATTATCTTCCATCTTAAAGTGACAAAGACAATTGGTCTTAATGCTGTGCAGCAAATGTCAGAAGTTGAGAGCAGATAATGTATTTACTTCAGTCAACAGGTCTAAAGAGGAATTACCATAATGTAAACATCATGTCAGTGTTATCCGTTTTGCTTGAGGTAGAAGGAGACAAAGACCGCTGTGGTGTGATGACTGAGGGTCGGCTATAAATGTCTGGATTCCTCAGACTCAGTATTTTCGGAGTTTGGTCTACAGCTAGCTGTGCCTACAATATCAGAAAGCATTTTTAGATCAGGCTGAAGATGATTTGTAATAAAGAGGCCCTTTGAGGATGCTGTTTTTTTAAATTATGTCACACAGAAAAGATTATATTGAATCATCATAGGATCGCTCTTTTCCTATTAAATAGTTGGGTCTGAAATAATCTCATAGCAGTTTTCAGTGGTGTCACCTGGATTGTATCCATTTGTCATTTTTAAACTGAGATTTCATTGACATTTTAGTCTCTTTAATTGGAAACCGCAGGATTCAACTTCGGCCATGATGAGTCTGGACATTTTGTCTGTCCATCTACTCACCAGAGGCATAGCCCAAAGTCATCTATATACCGCTTAATACGATTAACAGAGTATCAATCCAGGGATATTTTCATCATCCTGCCGTTTATTCAAGGACACATCACAGCACAGTCTTGTCATGTTAATATGCTGGGAGCTGGTCCTTTTTAAGAACCTGGCAAATAATAAGATAAGAAGAAGGCAGCACACACACACACACACACACACACACACACACACACACACTTGCTTTGTCTCCTTTGTGGTGCAGAGAATAAATTCCCCCGAGATCCAATTTCAACAAAAAGAGTCCATTCTCATCTTGAGTAAGGTCCCTGTGGCCGAAGCTTCTTGTTTTAAATCATCAATTTAATGCAGAGGCAATTCACGATTGCAGAAATTGACTTTTTTCAAATAATAACACTCTGTAGAACTGAAATACATAGAAATTTTAATGAAGTTTTTACAAAAAACAATGGCATCGTAAAACATCAAAACACTTTTTTGGTAGTATTTTCTTTTGTTACAAAACCACCGTACCGTACGCACTCTAAAGCTACGCTGTACACAGATCAGGCTCGAGTTTCCCAAATAAAAAACATCTTCTCACTAAAATCATCTTCATCCCTTTGTTTTCAGCGTTGTCTGAACAGCAACAAACACCTGCATTTCCATTTTCAGCAGGCGTCTGACCGACAGTCTGCCAAAAAGACCTTTGTGTAAACAGTCAATGAAGACGAGATGATTTAAAGTGCAGAAGACAGTTTTGGGAAACTTAACCCTGCATGAATATCACAATATATTCATAGACCCTTTTTTTATGCTTTTCCTTTTATGGGCCGCCCGTAAAATACATCCAAGACTTGCGTGCTTCTAACAAGGTTGATGGCGTTATGTACTCATGTGTGTGTCTCCTTGTTGACCAGCTTCTCCTTTGCAACAGTGGTCATGCAGTTTTTCCTTTGTAACATTTGTCCTTTGCTTTTGATACCAAATCTTCCATCTGTAGCTTTTTATATCCCTTTGTAAAAAGAATTGGTCGGGGTTTAGCAAAAATCCTTATATCCATTACACCAGCATGTCATTTCTGTATTGTTCCCTCTGAAATTCTTGTCTTTTGGACGCTCTTCAAGAGACCTGGTGTGAAATTGGAAGTCTTTTCTTTGTTTCTCTTCTACTTCATGTACATCGTTTTGACATCCAAAATACAAAAGTCCTGTAAAGTGAACAGAATACAGGTTCGGTGTTTGATGTACCTGGCTGGAAAAGGCAAAGTGACTGACTTGTGCCACTGTGGCTTTTCTGGATCCAACATTGAAATTCAAATATATTTCAGGGGTTATTACCTTCTTGCTCTACATGCTAAACTAAGTTACATAAAGTAAGTAACTAAATGTATACTACAGCTGTAGCATGGGTAGCTGGCATTGCAACATTAAAATCAGATGTTGATCCTCCTTGCATTGCCGATCTCATTTCTTTGTGCATCACTCTTTGCTTTTATCACAATGGCAGTGAGAAGAATACATCTCCATCTATAATAAACAGCTGTTCTTGTCGCCTGTATAAATTCAGCATTTTCTGAACCAGTCTTATGGCATTACATTCCCTTGGGACAGGGAGCGGGTCATCTCTGTGTGCACAAAGTAGGTCTTGAGCTCTCCTTTGCCCTTGACGTTGATGATGCCTCGACAAGAGCACATGTAGCCCAGTGTCAGAAGGATGCGGCTCGTCTCCTCCGTCACCTAGAGGGAGAACCAGATTGGTAACGTCCATTTTGCTTATCTTACACAACTGAATTCAATTCCTGCAGCCAGAAATACACAGCGTTTTAAAGGAATACATGTCCAGACGCTGAGGGAAACATCTGATGACCATTAACTCATAAGTGACAAACTCTTACCTTGAACCTTAACCTTGAAATTCATTTCAAACAAGATTGCAAAAAATAGGTGTTAAGTAGAGCTGCAATCACAGGATGGGAAATATCTACGTATACCTCTACATTTCTTATTGTTGCCTCTGCACATTAAATAACAGGCACTGCATTTTCAGTAAGGGTTATAAGTGATTGCGGGCTCATGAATCATCACAGCTAATGTATCAAATTAAGTGTAAATTGAAAACCATAAAATAACACGGAGCACTGTTTCCACAGAACAAAGTAGAACTTACAAACACAGGATTAGAAATATCTATGTGCTCACAATGTCTTACTGTTGCCTCTGCAGATCGTTAAATATCAACAAGCAATCTTGGAATGCAATTGAAAGCGCTCCAGTTATGCTGCACTGCACAGCAGGTGTTTCTATCAGATGTGTGCAGGCTCTAAAATGAAAAAGCCCTCTGAGGACTGAATGATTCCCACAGCCACATGTCATGCAGGTGAAAAAACAGTATCTTATCAGTGTCCAAACAGAGTGAAAATGTAAGATTTGAAGATGTCACATGATGATGAGGTGATATGATGTCCTTGATACCATGAATATCACGAGCAGAGGGAACAAGAGTTTTATCTTTTAACTTTACTGGCATTTAAAACGTCTTTATATGAAAATGGAGCAGTGCTGCTGCTTTAAAAAGAAACTGTCAACTTCAAACACAATGTGATGTTTAATAGATACAGAGACTTCTCAAACTGGTTTGTTCTTGAATGCATCTCAGAAAATGGTCAGCGCTGGTGTTACTCCATTTCTTATTTTCAACAACTCCAATAAACAAAAAGTGTTAGTCCACATAATACTACGAACTTCCCTGCTGTCTGTGTCTCAGCCCCAATTCCATTCATTGCTTCTGAAGATGCAAATCTTTAGAAATGGGCCACACGTATTTAGTTTTTTTATTTTAAATGAGTGAGGAATTTCCAAGTATTTAGCAAATATTATTTATGTGGGATAAAGAAGAAATTAGAATTTCCACCGAGCAGTTGTTTGCCTCTGCCAACCAGTCATGTTGCAGTTACAGTGCAGGTCACAGTGATCTTGAACTTTGACCACAAAAATCAGTTCATCCGTGAGTCCAGACGGACACGTGTCACATTTGAAGAAATTTGCTGAGATATCACAAGAATGGAACGGACATGAGTTTGCAGTGACCTCTGACCTTCAAATTCTAATCAGAACATATTTTAGTCCACGTGGATGTTCGTGTCAAATTGTAAGAATTTCCTCCATCCGTTCTTGAGACATCTTTGGCCACACCTACCACCTGCACGGAGGCATAACCGTAGACTAGAAGAAGTGGACGCAGTCGTCGTGACGTCAGCCACTGGTTTGTGGACTGCGGTTTTAAAGCCTCGAGTTCAGCGTGTTGGCCTTCGCAATTTTTGATTTTGGCAGTCGCCGTCTTGTTTTTTTGCAACCAGTTAACAGAAATGACCATATTTGGACAGCGGAGGATTGACGTAGAGACGCCGTATAAGGCTCTGGTTGCAACCGGTCAATCACAAGGAAGCCCCACCATAAAGCATACCCTGCTTAATGGTCTAAATAGGACCATAATTTACCAAATGAGCAACACGCTCTATTGAAAAACACTGTAAACTAGCGATTGAGATCATAAACTCTTGTTTTCAATGTTTACTCAGGTAATAGAAGTCATTTTGTCATAGACTTCTTTTGCAACCAGAGTCGCCGCCCCCAGATTGCCAGTAAAGAGAATGCAGGTTTAAGGCACTTTCGCATGGGCTTCACTTTTCAGAACCAGGGGTTGCCGCATGGGCATTACAAAAGCCCAATGGTAATGAACATGGCAACAAGTGCAACAGTGTGGTCATTGATGTTTGCAATATGCAATAGTTTTGGGACACCAGCGGAGCTCCTTTGGACGGAGCAAAGCGCTGTGTCAGTCTTTAGTTAAATCATACTTGTGTTGGGATCAAAACATGGGTGGTTTTGGGCTTTTCATGGAATGTGTGACAATAAGAACAATGGAGATCACAAGACATATCCCTTAATTACCTGTATTTTCCCCAGGACTCCAGTGCTGTCCATTCTGCTGGCTACATTCACTGTGTTCCCCCAGATATCATACTGTGGTTTCTGGGCTCCAATGACTCCAGCTATTACTGGACCATGGTTAATACCTGACAAAGGAAACCAAGCAATCAGTGAACAGTCCAGATGTATCTGTACCATATTTAGTCAGTTACATTTTCAGATTCTTTTTTCTTTTTCTTTTTTTTAATCTGAATGGGATTTGGAGCACATTTAAACATTTTCCAATGTAACAAATGTAATTACAGTTAATGACACTGTATTGCCTTTCCAATACATTTTTTACTTGTTGAATTATGTATCACCATACACGTGTTAATCGGATAATTTATTTTTAATGAGGTGTAACTACATCAGTAAACACCAAGCACATTATAATCATTTTGTTTCCAGTTCTGATGTCATACAAGGGCAATATTAAAATAATAGTTTTGATCTTACTGATTAATCATTGAGTGCAGCTCAAAAAGGCCTTCGGCACGAATACAAATAAACAAAGCTTTTCACAAGATTTCATCAGAACATGAGATGACGTGGAAGCTAAATGCAGCTTAATCCCCAGCCGTCCCAGCACCTCTGCTAAGCAGGCTCTGGAGCTTTTCACAGCACTCAGATGACACTGGGCTTCTCTTCACTCTGGCTTCTGAGTCAATTTTTCAAATTGCTGGAAATTGCAATCTGCACCAGTGCGCAGGCAACCGGCCAGCGGTTTTGTCCAGTCCCAGTGGGGGGGCTGGCTTGTATCCTTCTCTGATGCGTTTAAGGCCCGTCTAGAAGCAGTGGGGGTATACAGTCACACACACAGAAACTGCTGAGTTAATGGAGAAATCCATGCTGCGAAATGTTGAAGGTATCGAACTCTAACTCTTAGCGCATGCAGGGAGCTGGGACCTGCCCGCAATGCTTTTCTCTTCAATTATCCCCCTATGCTTTTGTCAGTAAGTCAGTCTCTCTCTCTCTCTCTCTCTCTCTCTCTCTCTGTCTCTCACTCTGCTGTTATGTTGTCATGACTATACATCCATGTCTTGCTGCAAACATGAGTTTCATTTTTTCTTGTTGTATAGACATGTACCTCTCTCTCTGTGTGTTTCTATCAAGGTAATGAAATGACCATCGAAGCATACTGGGGCTCTAAAAATAGAAATGGATGCATAAAGGCTAGCTGTCCATGTCAGTTACATAACAAGTCAATAGAACATACAATTAGTCTACATTCAAGCTTATAATTTAAAGTAAACACTTTGCTATTTATCAAACTCAAAATGATTTCTGCCAATAGAAGAACAAGCCAGTAAGGGTTGCAAATCTCACCCAACAGCAGGGCTATTGTTGGTTTCTCATATTTCATCGGCATTTTGATGTCTAACAGAAAACAAAGTTTATTTAGAGTGAGTAAATGAGTGACATACAATTTAGCCAATCAGCGTCCTGAAATAGATTCAGCTTGGGGCAGAATCAATTCTGCCCCAAGCTGCACGTTCTCGTCCAGACTAGTCTCTACAGGCGAGCGCCAGTGCCAGCACTGCTCCTCCAAGACCCGTTTGAAAGGAGAACTTTGGCGGAGATTCTGCAGGCCAAAGAGCTGATCCCAGATCAGCCTGACCCCACAATCAGACAGCAGACTAGCAGGAAAGGGAAGCAGTACATGCGAAGCTTCTCTAGTAGCTGTACACCAGACAGGTTTGGCTAGCTGGATGCAGTCATGCTAATAACGTATTTAGCTTTTTAAAACAACGGAGACAGATCCAGCATGGACAGTTACGGGAGTGAGGGACATGAAGCACCTGTCTGAGAAATGGATATATAGTTATGAATAAAGAATTACATATATGTGTGTGTGTGTGTTATATATTATAATGAATATTATTATATGATATATATTATTATATGATATATATATTATTATATTATACTGAGACTAATAAGATGTCCTGACATGTTTATCAAAGTGTTATTTTCTGTTTTTTTTCATGTTGGAATAAAGGTTAAATATTTAACTGCAAAGTAGTAATGCGTGTTTGATACCTTAATTTTTTTGCATTAAATCATACTGGGATGTTTGCTGAAATTGATTGGATGTGGCACAGCCCTACCTAGAAAATTTTCCACCTGCCGCCACTGCTAGGATGCCAGAATCAGGCATAGGCATCGTTCCCAGAGGACAAACACTTATCTCTCACCTGCTATCAATCCCTCCTTTCGAAACATCACTCTAGGACTCTCTCACCAGACAGTTCAAGCCAGCCTGAACTCTGTCTCTGGCTTAGTATTCTTGCTAACTAGAATGGGATCACCTTCTTCTAAGATGATCTTCCGACGATCATCCGACAGCCCCACAAAAAGTCAGACCATACAGCAATATAGCTCCTTCTGTGGGTTTTGGGGGTTTCCAAGAAGGATGGTTTGAAGCTGCGAAGTAGTTCGCATGTGAATGCATAGTCGCTTGCTCTTCACTCTCGGAAATGTACCCCATAGTAGCCGAATCAATTCTGTGGGGCCATGAATTGTCCCGCAAGTCCCTCCTTTTTACTCTATTACACACCAAAATGTTCTTCACGCAGTTCATGTTGAGGGACACTCCAAAGTCATTGCTTCTCGTTTCTGATTCCAGAAGTTCTGAAGATGGACTCTCTTTCATACACCCATTCAACACTTGTTCCTCCATACACTAAACTCTTATCCGATAGCCCGAGCCTGGCCTCCAGCCGTCCTCAGATCCCAAAGGTCTTCTACGAAAGAACCTGCTCAAAATCCATGTCCCTTCCTTTTACTGTTAACTCGGTGTCAGTATCCATCCGCTCACGTTGCTCAAACTTTAGAAGCCACATTCCCGCTCGCCTTTTCCGGTTTCCTCAGATGTTCCCAATTCACCGCCTCATCCCATCACTTTGACTCAATGCGTCCTCTTTTTATCGTAGAGCCTGGATGGATTGCTTCTTGATTCTGGGTGCTACGGCGGATTCCCAGTTTCCCCACAACGCATTTGGCAAAGTGGATGAGCTACATGCAGTTCAAGCCTTTCATATTAATCATGTGTTCCTTTAATAAAGCTTAACAAAGCTTCATTTTGATGGTGTGGTACTTGCTAGGGAAATGTTGCTTTTATGTGAAACTCACCAACTCTAAGTTTGAAGTCATTAAAAGAGTGTTTGTTGATAACATCCAGCTTCCCCACCAAGGCAAATGCAAACTCTACCATGGTCCCTATGTGCATGTACTGCCTGTCATGCTCCTGGGAAACAATGAGGAAACACAACCAGTTACACATTCAATTCTAGTTGAACAAAAGTTGTAAAAGGTGACGACAAAAATGATTTGGCATGATTTTAATGTGTGTGTGTGTGTGTGTGTGTGTGTGATGAGCGTACCTGTGACGTGTACTCAGGCCCAGGAGATGCATTCAGCCCAGTAGCAGCCATGTAAGTGCTGCCAATAGTCTTGATCTTTTCCACGCCACTGAACTTAGGTTTCGACAGCAGCTACACGCACACAAATACAAACACGATCCACAGAACAGCTTTAACAAAAGGGACAGAGTTTATGGTAAAAGTGATGTTTCATGCTTTCATTTTCAGACGATGCATGTGTATCCACATGCATATTATATATATATATATATATATATATATATATATATATATATATATATAGAGTGTATGGATTTTTAAGAAGTGGTTGTGGTTTGGGTCCAATCACATATGACAAGAAAATCAATGAAACCTATAGTGGAAAGAGTATCCTAGTTTGTTTCTGTTTGTGGTGCACGTGTAGGATGTTGTGACGGTTGGTTATTTACCTCGTCAAAATCAGCAATGATTTCGTTAAGAAGCCTGAGGCACTCCAATCCTTCTTTGTTGACGTCAGATTCAGTGTAAAACTCTTTAAAGTCTGGGATGGAGGCGAACGTGACACACACCAGGTCATAGGACTGGTGATACAGATCCTGTGTGACCAAATACAGACGTTAGCTTGGACAGCTGCGAAACAATGTTATAAAATTGATAAGCCACAGACTTCTTAAAATGGAAGAAAAGCAGGTGACAAGATTCTGTTGTATTGAAAGAATACTTAACAGTATTCTCAAATAAAAACATCAGTGGGACCAGAGAGGCAGACAAAACACAAGCCGGACAAATTAATGTCGGCAAATCACCCAAATAACAGACGAGCTTCTGAGTCCTGTTCAAGTGCAGGAATAGTCATTTGCTGACTCGTCATTCAGAATGTTTTGCAGCAGAGGTATCATTCCTATTTAAACTCCCATGACCTCCAGGATACCGCGTCCTCTAAACTTCCTTAGATGTAAAACTTTACTTTTCACAGTTCACACTGTGAGAAGCACTCAGGGGATATAACAGAATTCAGAATTGATGAATGAGATGGTCTCACAGGCAAGTCAGCAAATTCACCTCAGTCTCCCCCAATGATTTGACATCGTTGTAGGAAATTAATAATTTATTGTTCATACTTTTCTTGTAAAGAATTTTCTAATGCACAGTCTGGATGCTCCCCAGTCTGAATTATACTTGTGTGAGTACACACACACACACACACACACACACACACACACACACACACACACACACACACACACACACACACACACACAGAAAATGTCTTGTAATTTAAAAACTCATCCTGGTTTTTGAGTGGATTAAAAACATAAATAGCAGCAAAGTATGTACATATTTCAGATATTTTGTAATGACTCAAAATATAGATTATCTTTGAGGTAAGCTGCTTTGCAATGCAGTGAATTGATGTAATCTTGGCATAGAGCCACTGGTACTACAAGACCTCTGTGAAACTACAATACATCTGTCCTGCATCCATTTGTCAAAACACAATTTGCATGACCCTTCATAACTTTAAATGAAAGAAAACATAATGGCTGCCTACCTCATTCTTCCAGTTGCGTGCCAGGAAATGTTCTGCAACGTGTGCAGGCAGGACATTCTCCAACAAAACCCGGTTGAGGTTCTCCATGGTTTCAATCTCCTCGCACTCCTTCTTGAACTTGTTCTTCCACAGAAAGTCTAACCTACAGTAATATTCATTCTGTTACAAGAGGACACAGAGGTGAAGAGACTGAAGGTACAGCTGTACAGCTTGCTTCCATCAGGTCACAGAGAAAAATACAAACACATACAAAATGTAAATTCCGTCAATGCTTAAAGACAGAAAAGCAAATGAAACACTAAAAAGAACGGACTACACATTTTAAACAATTGCAAAAAACCTCATACAACTTCCGTCAAGACAGGCAGCAATACAGTGAATTGTGCAATTTTAGTTAAATCACAGGTGGAAAGCTACAAACACATGATTATTTTACCAGAACTAAAGGAACAAGACCTTTTGATGGACACAATGTAAGGCAAGGAGGAGTCAAATGTTTCAAGTGAGGAATGACTTTCTCTAGTGGAAATTTTGTGGGTATAATTTCTTAAGTGAAATTTAATTTCTTCCATATTGGCTGAAGCGCTTTTTCCTGAGCAATAAACAATTTTATCTGTTTTCATAAAAAGAATGCACCAACCAAGGAGAAACATTTCCGTAAGATGATCTGATGTAACAATGAATAAGCAGAGAAAGTAATATGGTTGAACTTTAGAAATACAATAACTTCACAGTCAAAGAGAAAGGGGGGAGGGTAACATAGACAAAGTGTGTATGTATCAGAGCAATATTTTTGAGACTGATCAGATATGAATAAATGGCATCTGTTATTTTTGCTGTACATCCTTTTCTTTGAGTTCGGGACAGAGTCAGCTCAAACTCAATCTCCATTATGTGAGACAGAAGTTCCACAAACAGACGTTCCCCGTGGAAATTCAAAGTGTGTCGATTTAAAATCACACTAAATAATGCATACAGCACATACGCTCAGTGTACTACGATGCCAAATAAGTGTCTGTGTGATGCTTCAACACTTGAAATGTCAAAATAATTATTTTTGTAGGTGTAGTATCAGTTAACAAGAGGCACAGGACGCATGCAGTAAAAGGTGTAGCTTTTGCTTCGCCTGTAGATCCACTCATGCCGTCATGATGCTTTTTGTGGACACAATTCAGTCCCCACAGAGAAAGAAAAAGTGTAGCAGCCCAGGGGATGGGCTGCTACACTTTAATGATAAGATCTGACAGAAAACAGAAATATTACTCTGCACATGTCTTCTCTTACTGACAGAGTGTTGTCAGTGAGAGAACCAGACAAATAAAGTAAGCATGCACACTCACATGTGCACACAGTCACACACTGCATGCACTACATGGCCTACATGTATTGTGTTATATAATGTATGTCACTACTAGCTCAGAGTAAAAATGAAAATTTTCTGCATGATCAAAATGTAAAGGGTCTTACAACGGGTTGATTATTGTTACTGTAAATATATAGAGTTGATGTTAGTACTTATGACTGTACTGTAGCTCCAGAGGACAGTAGTCTGTTCTGGATCGCACTCAAGTACAGCAAGAACCCTTTAGTGTAGTGTAAACCCAAAACAGCCAGACTAAGAAGCACACTACACATAAGTAAATCTCAAAGTCCAGCTGTGTAACTTCAGACTTCCTGTTGTAAATCATTGGCTAACAGTGTCTGACCAAACTGGTCTCATGATGCCTCTCTTGCACAGTGTGGCACAGCAGCCGAAAAGCTGTATCCTCTCTGCTTCTGCTTAACGTTCCCCAAGCTCTGAGGTTACAAAAGGTACATACAGTATAAAGAGAGCGCTATGAACAGTAGTATCGGGAGTCCAATTTGCTCTGCATTCACAGGAAACATCTAAAGCTAGCTCTAGTGAAGAAACTGCTCGCCAATGACAGCACTGGCCCGGGTGCAATCCGCAGCTGCACTGCTTCTTCAGCTGGTCAGTACATCAAACTTAATTGTGTTCACGCGTGGGAGACCGTTAAAAGGTGAAAGAGATCACGGGATCGTGGGCTTCCTCAACGGGAGGCATGAGACAGGTGTGTAAAAAACATAGAATGTGCTTCTCACAATGCAGTCTACACCTTTCACAGGCCAACAGACTAAGTTAGTGACAAAGACCATAGTACATGGGAAAATAGCTTTTTCAAATTGTTAGAAAATGGGAGAAAACAAATAAACACATACACACAAATACAAAGAGTGCAAAAATAAAGAGTGCAATTGCGACATTTCAGAGCTGTAAAGGTGCAAATGTCACAGATGACAGCTGATAACATCATTCAAACTATTAAAGTGTGGACTTACCTGTCTGGCAAGTACAAGCAGAGTGATGAAGAAGATAAAGAGGGAGATAGAGCCCATAGTCTTAAGGTCTTTCAGAACTCCTGGTCTTGAAGGGCAGAGAGAAAAAGAAAGATGTGTTTATGCATGGAGAAAGAGAGAGACGAAGAAAAAGATTAAGAGTGAAAAGTGACAAAAGATAAACGAACGAAGCGTGGGTAAAAAAGTGAAAAAACTGGGATGAGAGTAATACAATTTAATTAAAAATTCAAATCATAATCTGTAGTGTATGCCATGTGTCACATGATTGATTAACAGACCATTTTATTCCAAGCTGTCATTGGTTTGCTGTGACAAGAGTTTGTTTACTATCTGTATTCCGGCGGCTGAGCTTCCTTGCCAGGGTGCATTCACAAGGAACGTTTTTCAAGAGGCATTAAACAACGAGATAGTGTTCACCATCTGCAAAGACTCGGCACTGTGAATCCACATCAAGCCTTTGCGTTTCCACGATCATAAACCTAAAAGTAGGACACCTGTCCAGGGCAGACTTAGCCAACCAACCAAGATACAGCTATGAACTGTCCTGTGCATGCAAAAATACTAATCTGGCTACAGTTCATGCTCAAACACACTCAGAGTTGCACAAAAAGCCTGAAGCATACTATATGCGAGCAGTTGAGTTAAAAAAATGTTTAACAATGCTCTTATTCAAATCTATAATGAAACTGATTTTTTATAGCAGAGAACTCTGAGTTGAAGCTATGACTGTGTGATGACACTCAAACAGGACTGTTGCATCCTAATTTCTGGAAGCACATTTTGCATATTAATGGGCACTTACTCTTATCTAGGGCAGCTCGGCAGACAACTCCAAAAACAGCCTGCAAGTTCTGCACTTGCCTGGTTCATTATTTAATCAATTCTTTACACAGAAAGGAGGGCAATGACTGAGGACAGACAGCTGCACATAAAGGTATATCGGAGATGGAAAGCACACAAACAGGAAGCATCATTTAATTTAGTTCATCAGTTTTACAACAAAGCTTTTGGATTTGTCAATTCTACACTTTCCCACTGCTGACCAAAGTTCATGCTATTATGGCAGGCCCTAGTTACTTACTGCTGCTTCTATGTTTGAAAGGTATGACTGCATGCTCGGCTTGTCAGCCTTGACAAATTTTGTGCCTAAGCTAGCTACTTTAGAGCATATAGTGTTGTCACATTATCAAATAGAGTCTTGACATTGCACCAGAACATACATATCACACAAAAATACAAAATAAAATACGAAATTATTAATTTAATTGCATATCATTTTGTTATAAAATGCTACTGACTATTTTACAAAAAAAATGAAAACCATTGCCATTTAGAGGACATATATAGCAAATGGCATGGCACTGTTTTTAATTTAACATGAGGTTCTCTTGGAACAGTTATATTTCCGAGGTGGAGCTGAATCACTTGCAAGTTCTCTGCCACTGTGACCAAATCTGTGTGAAATGTATTGGCTTCACAGGAGGGGAAACTCCTTAAAAACCCCATTATGCTATTTCAATAGCTTTGGACAGGAAAGTCAATCACCAAAAAGATAATGTCTTTCCTCTGCAGGCAACCAGACAATGTAACTTAAATTGATAATGCCATCTGATGATGCAGTTTGAAAACTTTGTTTTGGATATTCCAAAGTACTAATTTGCAACTAGGGCTTCAACATATAAATGATCAGAAATTCTCTTAATTTTATAGTAAGGACGCAGTGGGTGTCATCATAAAGTCTGAAGACTTGTTCCACTATTCGCTGTCTATGGCACAAGTGTAGGATTTGTCTGTAGCTCAGTCTAAAGTTGTTCAAGTGCACAAAAAAAGTTGAGCTGTGTAATATCAATGTAAAAAACTAAAACAATTTCCTGTAGTACATTATAAACAAAAGTAACCAACCAATATTTTGGTACATCTCATTTTATGTCGTTTTACCCAGTCAGGCGGCTTAAAATTGTTTTTCTGTAGATTTTCCAGCAGCCCACCTCTCCCTAATATATTGTTGTTAAATTAACAGACTAAACAACAAATCACATTTGGTACATGGCACATGGGCATATGTCACTACTTGTCTCCACATGGCATGTAATGTACGACATATCCATGGACAAGACTTCTCTATTACAACGTCTTAAAGAAACTGGTTTTATTCCTTATTACCTCATTATGCTGTTCATCTCTATTAAGCAGCTGATTTCCTGACTTGTCGGTAAAAGAGAAGGCTGAGAATGGGAATGTGGTGTGGAATAGAAGATTAAAATATTTCACTGAGAGGGGAGAACAGCTGAGTCAGTGTGGGTGAAGAGCAGTAGCATGAGGGGAACATTGTCACGAATTCCCCTTCATATTAGTTTGTTTTCATCCTGTCTGCTTGTTTATTAACTCTCCTGTCATTTCAGATCCTACCATTCACATCCGATCACCTCTCATTCCCCTCACCTGGTCCTCCATACCCATCTGACCTGCAGCCCATTCCCTCATTAGCCCTCACTATTTAGGTCCCCTCACTTGCACTTGTTCCCTGCCAGATTGTCTTGTGTGTTATTGCCAAGTTCTCCAGCATACCTTTATATTGTTCATGATCTGCCTGTTTTCGACCTTGGATTTTTGCCTGCCCCTTATTGGATTTGTTCGCCTGTTTGACTGACCTCCCGGTTTTGACCCTGCCTGAACTCAAATAAAAGAACTGAACTTGTATCTTGTCTCAGAGTTGTGCTTTTGGGTTCTAGTATCTGTAATACTTACAAACATAGTCACTGGAACTAATGACTAAAAAATGTTTTTGGTCCATGCATAATCCTAGATTAGAGTTGGCAACTTGTACTTGAATATCGGCCATTTAATGTTTCAGTTGATCGTTAGTCTTGATCTATTTTCTATTTTCTATTTTTCAGATTCATTGGTTTCCTATATATTTTTTGGGTGTTTACCAAGCTGTCAGAATCTAGGCAGAAACTTATAAGAAAATACTGTTCAATTATGCAGCTGTTGCTGATCATTATTCGACACACTTGGTGTACATACCTTACACTGCCCGGGACTAGTAATAAAGTATTCAAACTCATGCTGCAGCCAACATGTCATGGGAAGAGTGTGTTGTTAGTAGTGATTGTAAGGACCACACATGCATCTAACTGGACCAGAGAAACATTTAAAACAATGTTAACATGCTTTAGTGTGCTGCAGCTGAGCAGCTAATTAGCAATATAGCCTGCAAACTCATGTTAGCGGTGCACTTTTCCCTGCTGAAAGTTTGTCTGGTCGCTCGTTCAACATGCTAAGGTGCAGGACAAGACGTGTTCATGTTAGGTTAAAGAAGTCCCCAAGGTGGTTTCTCTCATTTTAGGTAGTTCTGATAACGCTGATGAATGTTTAGGTGTTCATTTTTCTGATACGTCTGGTTTGAAATTGGTTATTTTATGCTAAAGGGGGTTGACAGCTGTTCTTCAAGAAGCAGTGCTTTTTGGCATAATCAGGTGACACTAGATATTGATGTGCTAGATCATGATGTGCTGTTTTAAAAAGCAACACCACTCATCTTTAAAACAAGTTGCAATCTGTAAGATATGGCTGGAATTTTAGTTTAAATACTCAAAATGTAACTTAACTAACAGTGTCTGAAGTAACACGTCTATATATACGTAACTGAGCATGCTACGCAGCTAGCCCCGGCCCTTCCCGTCTTGCATTACCACTCGTACCTCAAGAGGCAACAGTGAGTCACTATAGCGTCCAGTCTGTCCTCAGTCCAACATGAGAGGACGAAGAAGTAGAGCTGCCCCAAGGGCTTGGAAATCATGTAGAAGGTACATTTTGATAGTTTGCTTATTATAGGTTCAATCCAAAGTTGCAGAAATGACAAAACTACACGTATTTATCTTTCAAAACTGTTAGTGGCACAGTAGCAGTGACCGTCGTTCAGAGTTTGAGCAGTTTGTTTGAATTTCACGCATTCTGTCATGCTATTAGTTAGTAGTTGTGTATTTCTTTTTTTTATAACTGGTGACAGTAAATTCAGATTGTAGTCAGATTGGGAGTGTCCTCCCTAATCAAATGCAAGAAGAGCAACAAGTACACTTATCCAATGGTGTAACAACATTATTGCATTTATGTTAATGTTACTAATCTTTATCTCCTTCCATGTTTGCTCACATACCACAATCCAAAACATAACCATGTAATTTCAATTAGCTGTACTGTAGCATAACACCTACAATACACTGACCCCTGTGCATCTGGAAGACGTTGAGGTAGACCTTCTTGCTCTCCTTTCTCTTCATATCACGGTTTTCCATTTACTCAGAATCCCACAGGTTTAATATAGCAGATGGCCATTGTGTCAACATAACCGTTTCATTTCTCAGCCTACCTCAACATCCTCGCTTCCTAAATTTTGACTCCATACAACGCTTTGACACTCTCTTGAACAGTATCTGTTCGTCACTGTGCACTTACCTGTCCAGGCTTTCAGTCTTGTACAGAAATCTGCTATATTCATCCAGCAGAGAGGCATGGGTTCGTAGAATAATGATATTGTAAACCACAACAGCCGTCAACATGATAATCATCTTCAGCTCGTAGTTTATCCTCAGGAACACAGAGCAAGAGATGAGGCCCAGAATGCAACTGTAAATTAAATACTAGACAGACAGAAAAAGGGACAGAAAGTCAGAATGATAACTGGAATAAATCAACCAAGGATGATAAAAGAAATGTACAGATGATCATGATAATCTTCACTTACGGGAAGGTAGAAATTGTTTTTGCCTGTGAAGGCAATTAGTTGTCCATTAAGGTAAAATTGTGTTTCATTGGATGAATTGTAAACAGGAACAGGAGGCAGCAAATTGTCTTCTAAAAAAAACTAGAAAAAGAACACAAGGTCAACAGAAATTGAGGGCTTGTTATATCTTTGGTTAGTACTGAAAACACTTTTTGTTTAAATCCACCACAGAAAAAAACCGCACACTATTCACATGCAAATTACAAACAGACTTTCCTGTCTGCTTGTTTAGCACGTCGGCCTGGTAAAATACAAACTCTTCTAAATTGTACTTGCAGGAGGAAAATAGGAGTCTTGTTAGACAAGAGGCCAATAGTGACAACCATTCAATAAAGTCCTTTAAAGTGAGCCTGCAGGATAAGACGAGGATTGGCTGCCACACTGACCAAAGCCAAGTTAATTTGGCTCATCCGCCCTTAGCGACTGACCCACGTCAGGCGCAAAACAAGATTATAATCTCTGGAATCGATTTGTGTGACGGTCTCAACCAGGGTCCTGACACCGTGCTTTGTCACGCAACTTCCCCACAAGCCTCAGGCAACTATTTCACCTTTAACCGAGCCTTTTTATTTTCTCTCGACAGAACTACGCCTCAATTATAAAAAGTTATGGAAAAGAGTAGAATAACAATAGAATTATTATGTATGATATTCCCTTATCACTATTATGCAGGGACACCGTAATACTTATATTTGAAAAAGCCAAAAGATAAACTGCTTGGAAAAGAGATCAAAACAAAGAAGATATTTTCTGGAGTTGATTAAGCGACGAAATCTCCAGTTAGTTTGAGGCGTAATAGAGAAAAGAAATGGAAAGCAGAGAGATAAATACTACATTAAAATGCTAGTCTATCCACAGCCCCCAACCATGAGGACAAGACATATTTACCGCTGTGGCACAGCATTATTTTTTATTGTAGCAAGAAAGATTTGAGTTATTTTTATATTAAGCACACTCGGTAACACAGCAGTATTAATAAGTTTGATAAATATAATTTTGCAAAACATCTAAACATCCCTGGTTCCTATTTGTTTACAAGAATTAAATTGATTTGCATTTCATTACCTTCTAATTGCGCTGCAGTTAATAACAGGGGGGGTGTCATCTGAAGGGTTGTGATGCTTCATTCCTAGTGAAGTCTAATTGGTGTTACTGCTCCCTTACTTACCATGTTGAAGACTGCCATTATGAGTATTAGAGCTGTGGTTGTCATGGTGAGAGTGATGCGGGGCCATGGCTTGTTGGCAATAATGACCGATGACCTCAGCAGCCGCGTCCAAGAACTGGAGGCGCTTTTACTGCAGTGCTGCAGGGACACAAACGGCGCACAATACAAGAGTGCATGAGTCGAAGAACAACAGAGGACTTGGGAGCTGAGATCGTAAGGGTTGTGGAAACATTCAAATTTGCTAATGAAGCAACAAGGAACAGAAGCACAGACTAACTAATTCAAATATCTATAGCATATGAGCAGACATATGCAATAACAAATCAATTATTTCTGTTGACAAAAAACAATTACTGTGAAAAAAATAAACAATGTAAGTTCACCCACTGAAGCACCTATTACTGATTAACCCCTACTTGCCTCAGCGGCGCCAATAAACAAGATCAAGAGGCATACAATTGTGAAAAGAGGGGTCCTATCAAATTAATGGTGCACACTGCAATATCTTTCAAACTGCATGCAATAACTGTGCTACAAAATGACCACTGCGAGTGATTCCATCATATATAAAATGATGTAAACAAACCACATATATAGCTTCCAACTAACCATTCAGTTTGACTGCAACAATATTTTTTCTAACTTGCATTAAAACCAAAGCAAAGCTTAAAGGGGTTGTTGACTAGCTTCTATCTCCTGCTTCACTACTCAAATCATTATAAGTTTGTACGTAGAGACACACTGTGCAATCATGCTTTTCATTTTAACCCAGCAATATTACCTGACAGACAACACACTATATATCATTGTGATTTTAATATGTTGACATACTGTTTATTACGGAGTTATCATTGATACAAAAATGAAATCTTCCCATGCTTCTGCAAATAATGGCTGGGCCTGTTACAGTCAATTAACTTTTCCCCTTTGCAGCGATGCCTTCAGCTGAATGCGTTTCATTGCGAGACAATGACAGTGAAAGTACAAATCATTTGCTTGGTCATCTCAGAGCAATATCTGAGCCTCGCTGGGGCTGAGTTAATGTGACATTTGAATAGCTCAGACATGTGAATTACAATACAATAAAGTGAGGATGGCAGACTGTATCATGCACCGGCAGGATTGCCAGAAATGTGGAGCTAGTGGGGCACATTTTGTTTTGAAAACAAGGCATTTGCATGCAATCCCCTCTAGTTTGTTTTATTACTTTAATAAAACATTTGAATGACAAAAGACAAAATAACCTGCTAGGGTTGATATAAGTTAAAGATTTCAAGTTACACAGTCACAGAACCAGCAGAATTCTGTAATTCAGTCTATCAAATTGGCATGTTTTACCTTTGTAAGGTACCCATCATCATTCCCTGCTTAACAGTGACAAGGTTTCTGCAAGACATGCTATGTAGGTCAATACCTCACTTTGTGCGAGAATGAAAAAACTAAGTACAGTACATTCACAGGGAAGCATGCGGGTGTTGTTTTACTGTCACACTGTCTGATTTTCAAATGCTATCCAAAACTATGCGAGAGGAATACATGTACGAATAAGTATTATTTAGATTTTTCCCACCATCTTCAGCCTATAATTATCAAATTCAGCAGAACCACATGATTGATTTTGAAATTATACAGTTCTCATTCATGATCTTAATTCATAAACTCAAGATTTGAGTCACTGACTTTTCAAATGACGTCTTCTTGTCCTAAAATGCTATATTGGAAATTAAGGAATAATCCCATGCTGATCCCATCTTGCGACATGAGGCTGGGACAAAAGAACCGAATGTTCTCTTGAAACTGAAAGACACTGTGCCAAGGAAAATACATGCATATTGATTATAGAGCCTAATGTTCCTATTCACAAAGGATCTATGAACTACAGGCTGATTCTGGTTTATTACACAGGAGCCCTAGAATAAACTGTGATGAACTGCTGTATTTTCCACAATAGTAGCAAATAACATGACATGAACCAAAGCAAAGACTCAGCAATGCCAAATATAGTTAGCAAAAGACCGCAGGAGGCTTTTTCAACATTAGCTGTTGAGTGTTGTGTTTTGCTTTTGAGCCTTGGGCAACATCCATAGGGAGCACAGTTCAGAGCAAAGCAGCAGATTCTCACTTGCGAAGATTTAAAGATAAGACATTGGGTGCAATGGGTTGTATAGGCCTGCGGCTTGTGGAATTGTATTGCACCTATAATGTTACAATAGTAAATTATTTTTTTCTTTTTCCCCCTCATTCTCTTTCCTTCTGTTGGTCTTTCATCTATTTTTACTAGACAGTGAATATTTCAGAAGAGAGCTGAAGTAGCATTTGAAGCCACCGTCTTCCAGTGGCTAGATCCAACTGCGGCAATATTGATTCCATTTTAAAAGGTGTAAAGGCATTGTTAGCGATTTCATTGTTAGAAGTATTTTAGCAGGACTTAACCCCCATTAAATACATCATAAGACTAACTAAAATGAAGCCAGCCTTTTCTTAATGATTTAGAATTTAAACATATCAAGTATGCTGTAAACCCCAGATTCACAACATCCAGTTGAGATTGGTGTGTTTGCTCCTGAAGCATGAACCAAAGCAGTGGTGTGCAGAGGCTGTGGTCATGCACAGGCTCAGGATTACATTTTGCCCAAAGGTAAAAGTGAGGGGTACTTAGGCCAATAACCATGGCACTTAATGGGCCGTTCAGCTGACCAGAGGGGCACTTGGACCACTCAGGTGCCTTTTACTATGACAACACAGCACAAAAGTGTACCACTAGAGAGCCGGCATATCTTGGGTAAATACAGGTTTTAATAGAAAAGGAAACAGAGAAAGGGCACTACTAAAACAATGATGTTTGCAGTAAATGGATTTACTTACCACAAAGTGTCCTATAAAACATATGAGGAGGATCAAGGAAAGGATGAGAAAAGCCGTTCCAAAGGATATCCCCAATACAGTTGTCCTAAAAAAAAATACAATATCAAAGTCATCAAGTTAAGTTTAGTTCACTGAAAGTTGAATGTCGTTAGGTGAAAATGACTTATCAAGGCACAGAAACATAGCAAAGTGTACATGCACAAGAATAAATATACTGTTATCCACACTAACACAGAGTACAACATTGCAGCAATAGTCATTTTACTCTTGTGATATTTTGAAATTAAGCTCACGTACTTTGGAAGGACGAGAATCTGCACAATAAAAATGCAGAAAAAGATCAAACAGGCGCAGGTGACATAGTATTTGAAGGCCGGCAAGGTTGTTGCTCTGTACTAAAAGGAGAAACAAAGAAGGTCAAGTTTCAATAAAAGGCTTTCCAACTAATATCCAAGCAACTTCCAAAGCTTTTCAACCGTGCACTCAGACACCACAAGTCTCCCTGTGATTTACAAGATTTCAGGGTAAGCTAAATGTAGGCGAAGGAACAAGCAGTAACGACATGTTCTGTAACTCTCTTTGAAAATAGTACTGAGATATATCCACTCAGGGGTGAATGGTGCCAATATATTTGTACTGCCTCTTACTGTACCTCCGTCTCCAAGGATTTATTGTGAAAGAATAACGATATTCTTTGAATGTCTTCGGACTTCAGCCACTGCCTGTAAGCATAAAGGTATAGTTATAGAGCAGAGAATACAGGCACTGTTAAAAGTAATTGAGATGTGTTAGTACAAAAAAATGAAGATTCAAGATTAGATTTTTGTTCAGAAGAGGCAGGTGTTCCAGACAATTTCCACCTCATTAAGATACAGTCCATGCCATCATTTGCTTTAATGTGCCATGTTTGCCACGTTTCATCAGTTACAGTTTTAGAAGACTTTTTGATTGTACTTTATTTGTTTGCACAATTATACTAAAATTACTCGATTTTTAATATGACCCCTTACTTTTGCGAATTTATCCCATCAAAGGTCCTGATCATTCTCTCATTCAGTTCCTCCTCAAACCGTTTCTTCTGAGACTTTGTTCTTTAATGGGTAACAAGAAGAAAAAGAGATTCAAGTTTTAAGTTCACATAATATTAGTCACACACATCAAAGCCTCTAGCAGAAGTCTAGTCTTATTAAACATCTTGTCGTCTGTCCCTGTACTGTTAAGGGATGAGGATAATCCTGCCAAAGAAAATTGTGCCGGAGCTGTAAAATTAGCAGCTTGCCTTTCTGATCTCCTCTGGAAGTGATACTGCCCCATCGGCACATCCTAGACACAGAACAAGAGGAGAGAGAGGGGTTTATATGCTATAGCTGAACTTTCCCCATTAACTAAATCGCAACATATGTGTAGAAAATATTACACACAGCAGTGTTGATCTTCCCATTCTCATTGGTCATGCTGTCTCTGTGGTGCAGGTTGGCAAACGGCTTGGCTGCTCCCCAGGACTCAAGGTAGCGGGTCATCCTGACGGAGGCTCTCATCTTCGCTCCATCTACAGTGTGTCTGGAACGGTAGTGATGATGCTGTGGGCTCCGACTCTCCACCTGGACAAACACGGAAATAGTGTCATTTTATTGCATTTTATTCAATGTCCAACATTCATTTCACTGAATGTGATGGATGTGATACAGTACCTTTGGGTTAATGACCAGATAAGTGATGACTCCATGTTCCTTCAGGTAAGGGTCTCTTTCTTGCCCATCACTGTCTTCCACCTTATAGGCACCATTCAGGTGCTCCAGTGTCACTGAGGTGATGTGGACTCGCCTGGCAATGAACAGTTTGATCAATAAATGGCTTTCTTTGAATATAAAGATTGGATTTGAGTATTCTTCTTGCATCTCTTCAGCAAGGGTCGACAGTAACCCAGCAGACAAAACTGATGCAGATAAAGTGTGGTAAAGTAAAGGTATCAAAGAATTTTACCTTATGCAAATGTTAACATGTGCCTCTATCTACTTTCCAGTTCACTCACCCAGGTACACCTCCTGCTTCCATATGATTGGCCAGCGTGACATCATGTGACCAAACATCATATTGCCATTTCTGAAGTCCAATCACACCACACAGGACATTCCCAGAATGCACACCGACGCGCATGTTGATGTCAACCCCAGTGGCATCTCGCACTTTCCTGTCATGCACCAAAAACCAAGTCTTACTAATGTGGAGTAACTGAACATCATCACACAAAGCACATACCTCGTTAGAAAAGAGAAGCAATGCCTCTTTCTGACTTTAATGGTGCTGATTTTTATCTCAATTCAACTTTTTTATTTAAAGTCTCTCTCTGTCCATTCATTTTCTTGCAGCCCCCTCCCCATTGTCTCAGTCTGATGGCTACGGGTGAGACCAGATCTCACACTTACCACTGCACACACAATGCAGCTAAATAGACAATCAAGGAAAAGTCTAATGCTAATGGGTAAGCAAGTGCTGATCACTATTACCGGTCGGGATGTTCCAATGCATGTTAACATTGTGTTTAAAGGCATATCCGGCAATTTTGAACAATCTTTGAAATGCAGGTAGTAAAAAGTAGTACCTAAAATTTCCAGAAGTGTAATGAGACTCTTGAGAGTCTTCAGGTCGTAGCTGAGTTAACAGACACAAGAATCAGCATGAGGTGATTTTTTTGTACTGCAAGAGGCATTTCATTTCTGCATTGAGTGCTCATGTGGTTGGAGTATGACGAATGAGCCACTGCTGTGAATCTTTTTCATCATTTATTTACATCCATTTAATTTCTGGTCAGATATTTTCACATATTTTCACATCACTAATGCCAAATGCCTACCCACCATCAGTACTGCAGAGTTGAGGGATGTTTGTTTGATTGACTAAGATGTATTTTAAGTATTGGATGTGCTTCTTGTAGGTAAGCGTTTCAATAAAAGGGACTGTCTTTCTTCAGCAGCTCTGTTATATAACAGGTACTTACTTGATGGCCTCACACATGTCCAGACCCATTTTCACACAGTTCTTCGCATGGTTCGGCAGAGACTCTGGCAGGCCGGACACACAGTAGTAACAGTCGCCAAGGATTTTGATCCGCATACATTCATTTTCCTGCATATAAAAAGGTGGATGACAGCTCAGACACACAGGGTCACATAAAGGTCCCATTGACAGACAGAACAGGCAGATTTTTAATTGAATCACATAATAAACTTTGAGGCTAAATCCACCCTCACATTTATTTTACATTCAACATGCCTTATACATTACATTACTACAGTATGTTCTTTATTAAAAATAGAAGGCTCTATATATTTATATATGATTGAACAGAAAGAAGCTCCTGCTTTATGATTTTGGAGCATGTTTATCTGTTATAGTTAAGGAAAAAAATGTCTACTCTTCAAATGGTGTGACAGTGAGTATGATGTATTTGCACAAATTAAGACGCAAAAGTAGCACTTTGATAGGAAGTGTTCATAAGTGACAAAGTCCAATAATGAAAAGTTTACCTTTGCAATTTGATCAAATTTGCCAAACAGCTCATTCAACATGTGCACCAGCTCTCCAGGTGAGCAGTCACTGGCCAGCCGTGTGAAGCCCACTATATCAGCATAGAGTATACTAGAGATGGGGGAAAAAAGTCAACATACTATTATATAATGCTTTAATGTCTTCCAGGAAAACTCTAACTTTTAAAACCATGGATATACATTTGGGCTGCTCTATATGTAAATCTGTACTCTTATAATTATACACAGTGTGTGTAACATAAGTGTCTTCAAAAGTACACTACAGTACTGCTTGGTCATTTAAATGGTAATTAAAATAAATGATACATGCCTGACATTAGTGTGTCTCTGGACATAGAGGTTGTGAAAGTTGTTTGTGTTCTCAATCTGGCCGAAGTTTGGGCCCTTCAGTCTCTGGATGATCTCAGCTTTCATCACACGGGCAATGTGAGCTGGCAGCAGAGACAACAAGAGACGCTCCTAGTGGCAGTGACACAAAAAGACAAGAAGCAGTACAGGGATGGTCAGGAATATCAACGAAGAATAAGCAGATTATTACATTTGAAAACAATCAACATTTGCAATATATTACATGGTTTCATAAAAGAAAGTGCAGTAACACTCAAATGCTGACACATCCAAACAAGGTTTATTTGTTTAACCTTCAGAGAATTGTCTCAGAGATTCATTTTCTCATCAGCAATCACTTATTCTGTGAGTGGCATGACCCAAAATTAAGTTTGCTTAGAACTAATCCAAATACAAACAACAAAGCTTTGACTTTAGCAACAAAATAAACTATCAGACCCAAAGTTTGGTATAATCAACATGGACCTCGACTTGTCACTAAAAAGATTTTACACATCCAGCAAATTAAATTAAATTAAATTCTGAAGCATTCACCTTTGATGACAATAGACAAAAAGTTGTCACCATTTTATAGCTTCAAGTGTGATGATTAATTGGGCACTACATTGTGTCAGGTTGACTTCCTATAACCCAAATGAATTATCAAGGTAGAAAAAAAACTGTTTTATAGCGCACATTATTTTGCTGAAAGCCACCTGAAGACAGACTGAACCGTTATTCACCTCACAGCTTTTCATTTATTTAGTGGTAGCTTAATTATTTGTCTTACTGTAGGCATGTACTCCAAGCTAACCTGCACAGTAGTAAGCAAATACAACTGAGGGTGAGAGGTTCAAGATTGGAGAAAACACTTAATTAAGCCAATGTCACCTCCAACTTCAACAAGTTTTCTGTACCATTGATCATCTCCCTCCACCGCTGCGGAGGCATTTCTACGTGAAGGAGAGGACCATGGTGGTGGCTGCTAACAAACGCTGCCGGGGCTCTGGGTTTATGATGATTCACATAGTCCCCCTTGGACCACTCGCACCAAAAATGTATGCACTCACTGTACTGCAGGGCACTTTGGATAAAAGCATGCAGCAAACAGCATATATTATGGTGACCCGAGAGGAGTGCACAGTTACTACCATCTGTCGCAGGCAGCAGTAGCTCTCCAGGGCAACTGTGAAAAGCTCCACCCAAAGCGTTCACAGCTTCACTCATAGAAGTTGAAACAACACAAGCTGGATTCACCAGAGGGATAACCAGCACCACCCCGGTCCTGGGCTTTCACAAAAACAGCTGGATTCATCCTCATCTGACTGTATCCAAAAGCTGCAACTGAAACAGCGAAAGCAAAAAGCAAGCTTCATCCCAGGCTCACACAGCAGTACGATTTAATCAACAGCCACGCTGCTTATAAGCAGCAGCACCACCTCGGTTCATCTGGATTATTATACTAAACTGTTCCAACTTTACACACAGCATGTGGGGAAAAGCATGCAGGCAGACATACAATACATAAATACAATCAGGGCCATAGGTATTTGGACTGTGACACAATTTTTCTCATTTTGCCTCTTTACACAACTCCAATGGATTTGAAAGGAAGCAGTCAATATGTGGTGTAAGTGTAGACTTTCAGCTTTAATTCAATGGATAAAACAAAAATATTACATGAACCGTTTTATACAGTCCCCCACATCCCCCACAGAGGTTTGTCTGACAAACGGTTTCATGGCCAGATGTGGTCGGTTCTGTCACTATTTCATGACAAATGATGCAGATAATAGGATTTAAAATGTTAAATTTGCAATTGGTAGCTGGTCCATGGAACTCTCAGCATGCGGACCAAAAAGGTGTCAATGCAAGTGAAGGAGGCCATTATTAGGCTAAAAACACTTAACAAACCAGAAAGATAGCAGAAACATTAGGATTGACCAAATCAGCAATTTAGTACATTCTTAAAAATAAGTAATGCACTGGCAAGATCACCAACACCAACAGGCCCAGAAGACCACAGAAGACATCTAAAGTGGATGATCGCAGAATTCTTTCCTTGGTGAAGAAAAACCCCTTCATACCATCTACTGAAGTCTAAAACACTCTGGAGGAGGTAGGCATTAAAGTCTACAATCAAGAGACGCCTTCATCAATCTAAATACAGACGGTTTACAACAAAGTGCAAACCACTGGTAACACTGAAGAACAGCAAGGCCCGATTATACTTTGCCAGAAAACATCTAAAAAAGCCTGACCAGTTTGGGAACAAGATTCTTTTGACAGATGGAACCACGATTAACTTGTACCAGAATGATGGGAAGAGAGAAGTGTGGAGAAGGAAAGGAACGGCTCATGATCTGAAACAAACCACATCATCTGTCTAACATGGTGGAGGCAGTGCTTTGGATGGGCATGTATGGCTGCCAATGGAACTGGGTCACTGGTGTTCATTGGTGATGTCACAGCTGATAGAAGCAGCAGGATGAATTATGAGGTGTTTAGGGCTAAACTATCTGCTCAGATTCACCCTAATGCTACAAAACTGATTGGATGGCGCCTCACAGTGCAGATGGATTATGACCCAAAATATAATGTGAACACAACCCAAGAGCTTCTCAAGGCAAAGGAATGGAAAATTCTTCAATTGGCGAAGTAAGTCACCTGATATCAACCCAAGTGAGCAGGCTTTTCCCTTTCTGAAGACAAAACTGAAGGCAGAAAGACCCACAAACAGGCAGAAACTAAAGGAGGCTGCAGTAAAAACCTGGCAAAGCATCTCCAGGGGAAAAAACTCAGTTTTTGGTGATGTCTATGGGTGCCAGACTTCAGGCAGTCGTTGACTGAAAATGATTTTCCTCCAAGTATTAAAAATAATGATTATATTCACAATTATGTTAGTTTGTCCAATTACTTTTGAGCCTCTGAAAATGGGGATGACTGTGTAGAAATGGCTGTAATTCCTAAACGGTTAATGTGATATTTTTGTTTTATCCATTGAATTAAAGCTGAAAGTCTACACTTACACCACATATTGACTGCTTCCTTTCAAATCCACTGGAGTTGTGTAAAGAGGCAAAATGAGAAATTGTGTTACAGTCCAAATACTTACGGCCCTGACACTGTACATTGTTGCTGGTGGCTACACATCATTAATAGATTCAAGTGTTATTTTTCTATATAATTTCAAAGGGCTTTAAAATGGCATAGCAAACAAATGTATTTTAAAAAGGAATCCAATAGATTTATGTGAAAAAAACATTGAAGGAGACCAAATATGTTACTTTGTGTTTCTCGAACAGTAGTAATGAATAGTAATGAAACAAATGAGGTCATTTATTTTCACAGGTTTTGTGAAAGTCTTATCTCCAGTGTTTGAGATATTGTATGTGACCAACGGCACATTTAACTCAAGTTGTAGGGCCCCTTTACGTTTGAACAATGTAATTCTGAAAATGTTGTCATGATGAATCACATATAGTTGTCTGAAACTGTATCAATACCCAATCACTTCCATGCTGCACAAAACAAACACACACAGAAAGTACCAATGCATGGTTGTCCATAGACCCGATGCAGAGGGACTCGTTGGCTGCAGATGTTCTTATATCTTGTTAATCAACTGCAAAGATTTCAGCCAGCAGCCACAGGATGCTTAAAAGCTTTTACTACAGAGATTGTAGCACATGCAGTAGGCTCCAGGGACTCAACATAATCATCACACTAAGTGAGGTCATTAACAATTACCATATTCTGTGACCCAAAGATTTGAGGTAAAATTCTGCAAGCAAAGCAAAGACATAAATTCCTGCACTGTTAAGACCAAGTGCATTTTTGGAACAACACGTTATTTGGTTCTGGATTACATATCAATCTCCAAGTCCTGGGCGTGCCATAATGCTTTAAGTGATCTATTCTCTCATTCGTTGCCTCACACAGACATAATCAATTCCTCATTCGTATACATTTTTATCATTATTGCAATCAACACCATCATCATCACTAGCAACACTCTACTTAATCATTCACTGTATGCCAGACTTTCAATGTCTCAAAGCTCATTAATACTTGATGACCACTTTACCTGTTGTCTCTTCTCAAACTCCAGCTTAATTGGGGACTTGATGCAGTTGCAGGTGTCCTGATAAGTCTGCTTGAGTGCCAACTCCATCAGATGTTTGTGGTACGCCCCCGCCATGTTGCCACACATGAAAATGATAATATTGGCTACAATCTGAATGGGAACAGAGCAAAAGACAAAGCTGGTATTAGATAAATAAATAGCAGGCATAATTAATCTTCAAGTAAAATAAATGAATGTGTGACTAATAATTAATTAATTAATTTTCTTGTGAATGAGTTATTCAGAGAAAACAGTTTCCACAGCACGTCAGAGATAAAGAAATACAGTGCAACGGTAAGATAGGGTAAATGGATGCGTGTGACCTCTATGCTACTCCTGCTCAACTGTTCATTGTCTTAAAATAGCATCATCCCTGCATCGGCTTTACTGTTGCTTGATCAACCTTCCCTCCACACTGCTAATAAAAAGCAGAGGCTAATGATGCGCCCGGTTCAGGTTCATCGTACACATGGAGGCCCGTCTGTTTTTCTTAGTGTTATTACGACAAAAAACACACACCCCACTACAGGCTCTATTCGACCATGGTATGGCTGAAGTGACAAAGCTGCTGTTAATCACTCATGTCTTACCCGTATTTATAAGTAGCTTTACTAATGAGTAGCCAACATTTCCTGACCCACTACACTACATCTTTGTTAATACATCCAGACTTCAGAAGAATATCTAGGGCTAATGTTTGAAATCTGGCACGAAATGACACATTTATACATACATGTATTGCCCCATTTATTCATTTCATTATTTTTTCATAGACATATTTATATATTCATTAATTTAATATTGAATTAAGTGGAATTCAATAAAAACAAAAAGGTACATTTGTAGTTTTCTAATTGCTGATAGCAATGAATCTGGTCAATCAACCAGACAGTGATATTTCCATATCTGTTGCTATCAGCTTTATTTGAGCTCAACACTGACATAACACAGAAACATACACAACTACATTACATAAAATAACTCTCTTATACAAAGTGCCTTGCTCACTCGCTTATGTGCACCCTGCATCACAGATGTATGTAGCTCCGCACGATCAAAACTTTTACATTAGGAGATAAGTGCTTTGATTTTGCTAACTTGGCATTTTCTCCGACGTCACCCCAAAGCTAAACTTGAGTTTTTTGCCCCACTAGTATTAAGGATGTTAGCAAGGATGTTTCTATTTTTTTTCCATTCAACAATTTTGTTTTCCCACTGTGTGCATATAGCATTACAGCCTCACAGTGCCACAAGCATTACTGTATACTGTACTTCCAGTATTCACATTGTCATGCCCGACTCTTCGTAAAAATAAAAGGAAAAGCAATGATATATTTATGACACATACTGTACGTGATGCCAACAGACAAGTTGTGGTATATTGGTATTCAGTGATTCATGAGGAACGGATAAATTAAAAGAGCTGACGTCAGAAGACAATTATAAAGATAACAGCAATTGTATTGCCCCTCCATGTTCGGAACTCATCGCCTACACTGTCCCCTTTTTTTAGTCAATATCCCACCATAACAGCAGAGCGTACAAAACGACACAATATGACACATAAGGATAAATGCTTTCTCCAACCAAAGCTCTTCACTAAACCCACAGAGTGCAAATTGTGATCTGCAAAAAGGGAAGTCTGTTTTGTTTATTTTCGATTCAAAACAGTACTTTACTTTCATTCACATTTCCTGCATCCCCATGGCAGCACTACACAGGAGGCTCCATTAGAGAAACTATTGTGAAAGAATATGACCCAGTGACGACAGGTGAATGTATAAAGACCCAGGAGACCAAATATCCTTGAGCTCAATATTTTGCAATTTAATCCAAAATATAATGGTTCTCCCCCATCACATACTACAAAAAAGTTTCCCTGCCCTATCTCATTCACACCAATTTCCCTTTCTTTCTTTCCAGTATAATGATGACCTTCTTGTCACACTGACCACTGGAAATAGTCTCTCTCTTTCTCTTGCTCATCGCCCAACAGATTAACAACCAGGGTAGTTGTAAATTGTATGAAAAGATTCATGCATCAGACATTTTAAAGCAAGAAAACCTTCAGTGAATCTTACTTTTTACATTGAAAAACTGTTTAGATTCTATATTCTTGAGCTACAAGACAGATAAAAGCAAGTGCAATTACACAACACATGTGTAGCTGTAGGTACAAGTACCTCTCACTGATGATCTGCACATAGACGAATTTCATATGTGGTTGCAAAATTTGTCTTCCAATTCTACTAGCAGTGTCAGTGCTTTCACGGTTTCCTTTTGTGAAGACATGACGCGTCCTGTTATTCCATCTTGAATAACAAGACAATGAGTGCTCATCAGCACAGCTCGATAACTGTTTCATAACATCTATAAAACAACAATATTATCAATTTTGTAATAATAACCAACAACTCTCAACATGTATGAAATACCCCTACCGAGAAAAATGAATCTGATTTGTATGTTCAGACACTCACTATATATATTATGAATGTACTGAACACTGAATGCACCTGTCTCTCCTTTATATTTGACAAAAGCAAACATCAGAGGCAGAGGCCATGCTCATGGCCTGCTGGCTGTGTTTATGTTCACATCTATTCACCGTATTTAGGCCAGGCGTCCCTTTTGCTGTCCACTGAATTTATTGTCTCCTCTCTGAACATTTCCAAACACTGAAAGTTATTTTCTCCGAATTAAAAAAGCATTATATTTCCAAGCCTGGCTTAGTTCAAGAGTTTATTTTCCATAGAAAGTCTAACAAAACAGTGTGACCTTTGTGCTACAGAATGGTGTGCAGAGCACAGGGTTCAGACAAGTACACCGAATGACTGAAAGCAGGCACAAGGAGATGGACTGGGGCTTTTGTAAGCTGCTTTATAAAAAGGGTTTTCAGCGGTACATATGTTGTATGCAATATTTCATGATCACATTTTAAATAACCTCAAAGCGTACTCATATTTAATTAAAAATCCATTCAGCTACCCATTCATTCTCTCTGTGAGTCTGCCAATTAAAAATAGTTGCACTAGACAACCCAAAACATCAGCAAGAAGTACATCAGCAAGAAGTACCTCTTTGCAATTTTGTAGTTCTGAAAACTTACATGTGATGTTAGATGTAAATTACTACTTCTTTGAGGCAAGGGGGGGGGGGGGGAGGTGGTGCTACTCTATTAGCTGACATCTGTTAGACAAGACACTGACAGCAACCCAGGCTGTCTCAAAGGTCAGCTGTGTGAATCATCCGTACCTCACTGGTACCCAATTACAGATAACAGCGGGGTTAGGTGAGAATGGTCTCTAAAGGGCTTTGAACCCTTATGGTGGTTCTGGGATTATCTAAATCAGAGAGGCTATTATTATACCATGCGTAAAGCAAGACAACTAACTAAGATCACCGTGAAAGTGAGTCTTGTTTGAATGACCTAGTGGCAACTGACTGCAAATCTCAACAAAAAATAAACTTTTCATGAATTCTCAAGAGCCGAATTCCTGGGATACATACAATGAAAGCATGTGGTCTCTCACGTCTCCTCTATTTTCAAATTTAAAAAAGAGAAGAAACGAGAAACCAATGAAAGTCAAAAGATTAAGTCAGCAAAAGTAAAAACTTTCCTTTGGATTCAAATGAAGCCTTACTTTCCCTCAAACAGGTAATCCTTGTAATATGCAACAGCTGCTACTGCTGAGTGTCCATGTGAAATTCTATCAGATGAAGCTTAAATGGAGTGCGAGTGTTGTGATAGATTATTGGCGACTTAACACTCAACAATTATTCACAAATAATGCAAATGAAGGTTGTTTGGGGTCTGAGAGGGGAGGTTGCGATTTAAAAACACTGTGGGGTAACGTCAGTTAGGATGAAATTTGAATATATTAAAAAAGCTGACTTGAAGATAAGAGATCTTTGTCACATAATACATGTTTTATGTTTACAAGCATTCACTTGTTGTAAAAAAGAGCTGTGTGGAAATACTAAGTATATGTTTAGATCAAGTAGTCAGATCATTCTTCCCACTAAGGATAGGACTATAGGATTATATTGCAATAAAAATAAACACTCACAATAAATTGATTTTGGTGAATTTTCATTATCGATTTAATCATTAATGACCTTACATGAGGGACTTGAAAAGGTTGTTAATCTCGTTATCATGGTAGAGAAGTGAAAAATAAAGCCTGATTTAAAAAAAACACAAAATTATTATGTAAGAAAGAAAAGACTCGTACAACTCTGCGATGCTATTTTTTACATTTATGCAGGTGGACCTTATGATTTATGATTACCTTATTTAAGATTGTTGGATTTTCACTCACTGTAAGAGGATGTTCACTTAAAAAAAATAAAAAGAGTCACCAACTTTTTTATTTTATATTTTTATTTTATTGCAAGACAAGAGACAATACATAAACATAACAAGAGGACGACAAGAACAGTGAGATACAAGTCAGCAAACATATAGTCAGTGTAAGGGAGAACGGGAGAAAATGCTTTTAACGTAAACAAAGTCAGGGGCAGTATCGGCCTTTTTTAATCAAATGTGAGGTGAAGTGATTACTTTGGGCAGGATAATAACGTTTTCATATCGTCCCATGCCTACTTCCAACCTTTTAGGATGAGAAGAATATAGTTTTAGGAATATAACAATGTAAAAATGCAACAATATATCACTGTTGTACACACTGCATGTAAAAAAAAAAATAAAATAATAATATTTCTAAATATGACATGCACATAAATCTGGACCCAACAGAGGGCTTTCACCTCTTCAATAAATGTGCTGGTTCATTAAGACTCCAATGAGCCAGAAGTTTAATGGACTTGACAAAGTGGAGATGTCAGTATGTAGTTCCTTCTCACTAAATACCCTCTGGGCAGTTTATATGCACACTAGAGCAAGATTGTGGACATTTAATGGCTGACATTTACAAAATCCTTGGTAGGACAGACTGGTGTGTTTTTTTCTACAAATTGCTGAGCTTAATTAAAGTAAATTCAAAATTCAAAACACCACAAATGCATGCATACTGAATGTGAGATGTGTGTGTCAGTGTATGTGCCTGGGTGCATGCATGTCTGGGCTTTCTTGGGAATAGTTTAACATT